GAGTACAACGTGGTTTGACTGTTGCTGTCCATATCACATATTTTATATATTATTATATAGAAATCTTTGCTTTTATATTAAAACAAACAAACAAACAAATGAATAAATAAATAAACAGACAGCCAGACAAACAAAAAAACTAAGAAACAATTCACAAGAAACAGAAAACTGCCAAGTAAAGATCGCAGTAGTTTCAGTTCACAAAACGACTTTTTGTTCTCCTCACTGTCAATATCAAGAGACGTTGACGTTTGGACATAAGTTGTAGGCCTACTTTTGATAGCCCAATTCTCAGAATGATTCCTGTTATGGGAATGAAATTTTAAAAGGTTGTGCTAAACTCAATGAACGTAAATATTCTTGCAGTGAACGCGCGCCTAGCCTACGGTTGTTAGAACGGAACTCTGTAGGCTAGTCAGGATAGAACTTGCACAGTTGTCCGTAAAAAAACATTGAGAATTTGAGGCTGTTACTACTTCCGGACTGAACATAAACAACAATATTACAGTCACAGTGTCTATGAAATTTCGCCAACCTTCATTTTTGCAAAATTGCGAAATGCACTGCATTAAGTGCAACGGGCAGATATCACGCATGCTGTCTCTGTGATTGTTTGAAAGATAGGTTATTATGGTGCGATCTGAATCAAGGGCCTTCTAATTTCTGTTTTCATCCAGGACAGTCAGCAGACAGTGTGGATGGTGATGATGATGAGTGAATGAATCCAATATAGAGACTATAGAAATAGAATCTAGATTCTATATGTGTGTGAATATGAGTGTGCACGTTCAGTAGACTGTAGAGTCTAGATTCTACTTCTAGATTCTAGAACCTAGATTCTAGATGTAGATCAAGATCTAGTCTAGATCTTGTCTGTACAACAGTCATACCATAGAGTGGACACAACTTCAACGACATCTAAGACTTGAACAGCAGAAGGCTATCTGTAGAAATAGAGCCTGTACTGTCTGTAAGACTGTAGACTGTAGCAGCACAGTGGTAAGGTAACTACTGGCTTCTAAGCACTTTTGTTGTTGTTTTGTTTTTGTAAAGTGTTTTACGGCGCTCGCAACTGCATAAGAAGGTCATATATATGTCATGAGCGCGCGGGACACACCTAATATTTTGGAATTTTGAATTTTGCTCGGGTGGCGGCCGAAGCCTACTCTATCTATTTTAGACCACCAAGGGATCTTTAATGTGCGCAACTTGCACACGGGCCCTCCGAGATTTTTCGCCCTTGTCCGAGAAGGCTAGAGGTGTAGATCTTTCCTACCAGAAGATCAGGGGTGTGGCTGAAAGACAGCAGCACTAAGAAGAAGCGAAGGAGTAGCAGTAGAAAGGCTGCATAAAGAATCAGGAGCCAATCTTGAGGAAGGGGCAAAGGAGGTGAGGGGGGTGGGGGCAGAAGGAGGAGACGAAAGCAAACGACAGAACATTGCTAGAGAGCAGGAAATGAGGTGAAAGGAGACAAATTTAGAGAAGAAAATTTTTCGGTCGCTACCCGGATTCGAACCCGGGACCTTTTGAATGAGAGGCCAACACCTTAACTTCTAGGCCACGAGAGCCCCCTAGCACTTTTGATAGAAAGAGAGTTCTTGACTGTTTCATGACCAAGATTTTCTGTCATGTAGGCTCAAGGTAGGATTGTAGGGGAGGACTTCCGTAACGAGCGACCACTATGAGACAGAGCAGAATTGAGGGCTAGGGATAGGGGTAGATCTAGGGGTAGGGTTTGGGTTAGGGTTAAGGTTAGGCGAAGTGACTATTCGGAC